TGATGGGAGAGGGTGGAGCAGAGTGGGGATGTATTCCATTAATGCGCCTGGGACAAAATCACATGGGGAATGTGCATGCAGCGCTTGAGCAGGTTTTCCAAGTCAAAGTACAGGGGTGATCTTTGATGATTCATTCCCAAATATTGCTTCACCTCATTTGCAGCTTTATAAAACCACATTGTGAATGTCTGGTCCTTCTTCTTCCTTGGGATAGTATTGAGTGAGGTGGATTTCTTCTACCTGCTCCTATACTGTGAAGTCCTGGAGTCCCATTTTAGATCAGGAAATCATGCTGCATGTTGAGTAATTTGAGAGAATGAGATAGAATAAAAAAGTGTTGTTTTTTGTTCAATACATTGTGTTTTGATGGCTGTGTTTATCAATTAAAATATTACATAACAGTAGCTTGACTTGAGGTTAAGTCTAGCTTAATAGAATTCAGAAGTAAATCTGCATGTTTCATGATGGGGCTGTGAAGCTATATTTGAGTTGATTTGCCATGAAAGCTGTGTGACAAATGGTACAAATTTAGATAGGAAGAAAATGCCTGCCTAGCCAGGCATGGAAGACACAGAAGATTTGGTTATTTTGTTTTCCATTTCAAGTTTATCTAGTTCTCTGTCATTTTACTTGGACTCTGTTGTCCTGTCTTCTAATATTAGATAGAAAACTCTCTAAGAAAAGTAATTTAAGAAAAAATGTTATTAAAATGTTGAATGTTCTTCAGAGATACTTTTTCCCATTGGGGAGGTAATTATCTGTGATTAATCAGTAATTCTTTGGACATGTAGTTCTCTCTGATTAATCATTTAGGTGTTCCAGCTGCAAATGAGTTGGAAAGGATAAAAAAACAAAACCAGAATATTCTTCTGTATTTTATATGTTTACTTTTTACATATTTTTAATATTTTTTCTTCATGTTAATATCTGGGGTGAATGGGTTTTCTTGACCGTTTATGTGAAAGGCAGTAGCATAACAGCATTCTGAAACTGGTTCTGATATCATTGATTTAACTTTCGCAGACAGAAGTGGCAGGAGATGTAACTCCTGAATCTTTTTTTTTTCTTTTAAATATACTGATCAGAAATGGATTGAGTATTTTATTTGTTAGTTATATGTCCTGACCTACAATAAGGAGAAAGGGTTCACATATCATTAACACATGAACAAAGAAATTATTGTGGTGATGCAATTTGTGTGCATAATTGCATTTAAACCAAAGGGAAAATTTTTTCTTCTGCTTGATATCTAATTTTTTTGCCTTTTTAATGTAGAGATTGTATAAACAGAAAGTCAACTTATTTTTGGCTGATGCAGTTGAAGATATAATAGAATATTTACAACCAAACCCCTGAAAGTAGAAGAGATTTGCACAGATTTGCCTGTATAAGGAAGTTTAGAGATCTATATCAAGAATATTTCTGGTGTAGACAGTAATAATTGTACTAAGAGGAACAAAGAGGTAGTTGTCTGTGAGATGTTTGTTGACTGGAAAAAGATGAATATAGTGCAACATTAATGTGCTGTGTTTTGATAGCTGAATATAGCCAGTATTTGGAGTTTTATTTATCTTCATGAAATAAAATTTCTTGTCATCTTTTGTGTATTTCATGATTAAATTTTCTCTATGGAATGATTTTAATAAAATAGAGAAAAAAAGAACAGTACAGACTTTCATGTTCAAAATTACAAAAAAAAAGGATAGTATTTTCAATTACTTCCTGCAGTTTTGGTAAAGACCTGTGGCCCCAGAAGATTTGGATTTTTACCTGAAGGAAAAATATTGGTACACATGAGCAAAATAAGAACAGTAGATGCTGAATTATATAGCACAAGCTTATTGTGCAGAGTGAACAGTTTGAAAAGTACTGAAAACTGTATTTGAAGATGAGAACAAACATCAAAGGAGCAAAGAATCTTTTTCATCTTTCCTAGTAATTATTTCTGTGACTGTATGTGCTAAGTGCCTTGTGAAGAGGGTGTTGGGAGAGGTGAATGACTGCCTGTCTCACACAGACATACACACATATCTCACAGCTGAGTCACTCTCTGTGCTGGTGATTCAATATCACTGTGCAGGTTAAAATAGCATTTCTATTGTTCTGGTATTAAACAGTCATCTGCACATTCTGAACAGTTGAAAGAAAAGAATTGGAGCAGATATTACCTATAGCACATTACCTTGTGTGGTGTATGAATGATGTGTAAAATCTATTTAAAAATCACAGTGCTGATTCATTGGTTTGCTTTAGTTTTGAGTTGCTTTGACAGCACTGAAAACTCTGGAGTTACTCATGAAGTAAGCAGTGAGAAAGGTAATAGGATTATAGAAGAATGAAGTAAATGAGCAATGCTTTGACAATATATGATTATTTGAAAATTTCACGTGGTTGAATTAATTTTTTCCTAGTATGTTTTATGAATGAAAATATCTCGAGTCGGTGAAATATACCAATAAAATCTTCCCTCAAAGTCCTATAAAGATGAACACTTTGAATGTGAGAGATGAATAGAAGCACTTCTTCACAAACTGTAAATTTGTTTCAGAAATTTTACAAATTTTGAAGCGATGGAGGAAAAAAACATTATTTCTTTTTGGATTAAATTTTTCCTTGGATTGTACATTATTATATCTATCATTTACACTGTTTTTACTTTGTTATGCTATTTTACTACACTTTTACACTGTTTCACTGTAATAAAGCTCACGTAATATCTCTGCCTGTGGGTGACATCCAAATTTGTGAAATCTGAGTGTGTGCTCAATCCTCACTGGACCTAGAGAGCGAGGTGCAGCAGCTTCAGGAGGTAATGCACAGCCAGCTGTTCCCAGACAACAGTGCACACAACTTTCTTCCACTTCATCTTTCTCAGAAGGGGAAAAAGCAATCTTTACAAAATCTCTCTTCCTCTTCTCTGCCCCAAACTATTGCAATATGAAGAAACATCACTTAAAGTCCATGTGTCCCTGAAAATATTCAGGTCTACCTTATTTTTTCAGCTGGGCCTACAAGCTCTCATACACAATTCCTGCTACTGCCCTATTGCCATCTTTCCCCTTCTTTTTGCTTTCTCATATAATTCAATAGATGTACAGTGGTACTAGTTTTCTGTTTCTGTTTCTGTTGTTACGCTGTGCTGACAGCTCTGATAAATTCTGATGTCAGGTAACTAAGTATTGTCCTGTAGTTCTTGTTCAATGAATTTATTTCAAATATATATTTCTTAGGATTTTTGCCTTTAAGACAAAGATTTTCCAGTGAATGATTTTTTTTTCTAGTATTTGTACAGTCTTTTAAACATTGCAGAATTAATCACAGTTGTTATTATTAAGAGTAGTCTTAAAAAATAGGACCTAAGAAATTTTAAGAGATTCCTGCAGTTATCTGCATGCAGAATTAGTTACTTCAAAAGCATTTATACATTTGTCTAGTCTGTTTCTAAGATCTCGCACTGATGAAAATCCCAGAGTCCCTGGGTATAAAGCCCACATAGTTTGTCACTAAAGAAAGACTCATCCATCCCTGGACATCCAAAACCTTGTGCTGCTGGAGAGGACAGCTGCCTGCTGCCAGTGCAGTGGAATGGCAGGAATTGCAAGGACAATCTGCTCTTCACTCAGTAATCTGTGGGCTCAGAGTTGAGAGGAGCAGGGGAGATGGAATGCTCTCACCTAAAAGCCTGGAAGGTGTTACACCCCTGGTAGTGTGTGGTGAATGCTCCAGGTGGTGACTTGTGCTACAGGTTACTCACCAAGACTTTGGCAGCAGTTTAAATGTATGGATTTGCTGGTATTTCACAGCTGGCTCTGATACAGTAAGTTGGCATCAAACAAAAGCAGTCTTAAGCTATTACTTTCTTTCTCTTTTTGTACAACTAGCATACATACTTGGGTATTATTTTGTCTTTTATATTTTTAATATATTCAATGTTTAGTACACTATAATTTTTTACCAGGAGCTATCCAGCCATTTGAATGCTGCCTTCCATAATATTACACCTATTTATAAAATAGCAAGGGGTTTCTATATGGGTAAAATGTGTACATATTTGAAAATGGCCTAAACTGTTCTCTGCAGGGAATCTTCTATACAAATTTATATAAGTGCTAAACAAATATATATGTATATGACTATTTAATATTTGTTCATTAAAAGCAGAAAATGAAGGTTTTAACAGACAGAGGAAATTATTACGTGGCTTATCTAGGCTAAAGGAAATAGAAATATACCAAATTAAAGGACAAAACATGAAATTACATAGAGAAGCTACATTTGCGAATTAGACATAATGAAAGCAGACATACTGTCTTTAAAGAATGGCTTTTTTCTTTTGATACATCTTTGGCACTATGATTTAGCATGGCATAAAGCCTTTGGAACAAGTTAAAATATATTGAATCATACCTGTGGAACATCTTATACTTAATTTTTAATTGGTCTTTGTCTTAAAATGTATATGCCTCTCTTTGTTTTCTATCCAGGTCCTTTTTGCTGTAAACTGGTAGTGCTTAGGAGAAAACACAGCTTCTGATTACTGAGCCAATGCCTGTTTGTCTTCCAACTCAGCCAGTGGTTTCCATCTTCTGTGTCCCTTCAGAAGGCAATAGGAAGGGTTCCCTGGGGTGTAAGGAGTGTTATGGGATTGATGAGATTTGGAAGAGTCAGAGATGCTGCATTCATGAAACTAGGTAGGGTACTGCCAGAAACTTGACCACACTTACTGAAGAAATGGGTTTTTTTGTGGAACTGGGCATTGTGATGGCAGGACAAGAAGTTGGCCTTTTAAAACTCAAGAGCAATTACCTTAATTTAAGAAACACCTCAGAGAGTAAAATATATTGAGAGAAAATTCAACTATATTTTTTTGTAATTCTATGCTCTTTGGTGGATGTCTTTGTTTATTCTTGTATTTGAGCGGTGCAGAAGGAATTGGTGTTGCGGGCAGGAGCAATTCTGTTGTCAGAAGTGCATGTCCAAAAAACTGGAATAAACCTATGATGATGGAAGGTATTGGACTGAAAGTCTTTTTTATTTTTTTAGTGGTTTTCCCGTTATTGAGAGTCCTCCTCAGTAATCTGATAGGTGACCAGCAGGAATTGTGAATATAGATATAACCTAGGACTGGCATTGTAAACTGCTCTGAATAAAAACATGAACTTCTGCAAGGAACTAACTGTTTAACCTTTCATGTTAATCAGATGGCATGTCTACATTTAATAGGTCAAGTAGCAACTGAGAAAATTCAGAAGTTGGATTAACTTTTCACAGGTTTTCTGACAGTCTGGGTTGTTATACTTGACCTAAACTCTCTTTGGCCTACAGTCTTTAATTTTCAGAAATTTTTCTCACAAATAAGACACTCTTTTTTGCTTTTTTGATATAATTTAGTAGCATATAACTTTATATTTTTCTTTCTTGTAGGGTGCTTCGAGTGTTGCATCAAATGCCTGGGAGGGATTCCCTACGCATCTTTGATTGCTACCATCCTGCTCTACGCTGGAGTTGCACTGTTCTGTGGCTGTGGACATGAAGCACTTTCAGGAACCGTCAACATTCTGCAAACCTACTTTGAGATGACAAGATCTGCAGGAGACGTTATTGATGCCTTCACCCTGTAAGTTCTTTTTACTTGTTTCCTTTTGAAACTGCTGAAAAATTCCACAAGGGATATAAATTTGACTCAAGAAAATGTTATTTTTAGTGAAAATCATAAAGAAAATGGTTTGGATAAGCTTAGCAGATGAAGTTTTGACCAAGCTGATATTTTTAGTATTACAAGCAATTTGTAATACTATTAAATATCCCAAAGCTTTAACTAATCTATTACTAAAATTTACTTCATATAATGTCGATAAATCTGTTCACCCTTGCATTTAAAAAACAAGCAAGCAAACAAACAAATAAACAAACCCCGTGGTCACAAAACTATAAATAGATGAAGCAGACTTGTGCAACAAGTATCAGTTCTGGGAATAAACACAGTAAAGAGGTAACCAAGGAGTTGTGCAGAACCCTGAGACTTGAAATGTCAAAATTCTGTTGCCTCTGGTTTTTCTAAAATTAAGCTGTTTTGAAGGTTTCATGCTTTGCTATTCCTGAAAATCTGTTTCTGGAAGACCTTTGTTTTTCTGAGCATCAATTTCTCAATAAACTAAAAAAATAGTTTATTTCATGCTGAAATGAAATGAAATGTTTTCTTGTATCTTTAAAATTATCTCTTAAAGACATGATTATCTTAGATATTTGAAATTCACATTCTTACCTAGCTGCTAATGGTTGTAACTAAAGCTGAAGAAGCCTATCCTTAAATTTGTAATTATTTTCTTTCATGAACATTTTTCACAAAAGTGACTTGATCATCAGAAACATTGACCTCTTCTGATGGATAGTTCCACAACAAACATCTCAGGGCTTAGAACTGATCAGAAAGCAAACAAATGACCAACAAATGGAAAAATCAAATTGAAACAGAGAACATACCTATGCCATTATATAAGTTCATCTTTAATTCGTATTGTAAATACTGTATACAACGTAGGTTCCTCAAAGAACCCAAAGAAAAGATGATTACAGAACAGGAGATACATGGTTAAAAATTGAGTATAGGAGAATTCTTCAGTCTAGAAAGGGAGTAATTAAGAACTGTTGCATGAGTGGTCTGTAAATTCACAGTATTATGAATAAGACACTCAAGACTGGATTGTCTTTCTATTCCTGTAAAAAAAGTTTGAGGTATCAGAGGAAAGCATTAGGCACCAGATTCAGCAGGAGCAAGTTCTTAAATTTTTTCATAGCAAAACTGTAAACATATTTGCGTATTATGGTTGCCAGAAATTTTTATGGCTTCAAGGGAAGACTGGATAATCATGGAAAACAAATCCATTGATGGTTTCTAATGACAAATTTATCCAGCTCAGGATGTCACAAAGGCTAGGCTAGTGTTAGAGGTTATCCTGTTGACTTGCTTGCTCTTACTTTTTCCTTTTATTCATGGTTTGGCATACAAAAATGAACAAGATATATGTATATTTGATCTGACTGGGTGCCACTGTTTGCATGAGAGCTAGAAATGGAATCTGAAACTTAACTTCTCTTGGAATATGTTATCAACATCCTTTCCAAAGCTTCTCTGCAAATTTTAGGTGTACTCACTGTGGGATTGTCCTGGATTGTCAAAAAAATTGGGATTAGTAGCAAGAAGGGAGAGTGAACCAAATAAGTATGTCACTGCTACACCAAATTCTTCTTTGAAATAAAATTTCTTCTTTGGATCAAGGCATTTTTATATCCCTGTATAATAATATGTTCAGTTAAGGGGAAGATGTATCTTCTGCTTTGCCTTTTGGAATTGTCATTTAGAATGATGAGTCTGGCTTGACTTGGTGGCTAAGGTTCATTGTTATCCTGAATGAAAGATCAGTCATTTTATTAGGCTCTAACTTATTTTATAAGTCCCTAGGGAGCTATTAGTGCAGAATAGCCACAAATCAATGTTTTCTCTTTGTAGCAAGTTTTTCAGCTTCTCTCTGTCACATCCTAAAGTGAAAGTATCAGTCAGGGAATATAGTCCAAATGCATATAATTCACTGTAAAAGATTAAGGAATTGTAATTTTTTTCCCCCTGGCATTTGTTTTTCTTAGTTAGCAGGTTTTGGATCTGTTTTTTTTCTTTGTTTACTTAAAGAGATATTAAACCCACTTCTTTCTTCAGCAGGCTTATTGTAACGTAAAATTTGATTTTATTCAGTTGTGAAAGGTGTATCTAAACTTATGTCTTAAAGGCAGGAGGAGAAAATATATTGATTAAAAGCAGATAAGCAATTGCTTTGAACTGGGTAAAGTGTGTGACTCTTAAAGAAATTTGCACATGTTAATTTTCTACCTGTTTAAGTAGATATTACAGTGCTTTTAAAATAATTTTGTAGGGAGCATAAATCCTTGATATTTTCTCACAAGTATTGATTAACCATTTGCAGTACAAAAGTTCTATAGTAATCATACTTTTGAAAGATCAAAAACCAGAAAGAAGAATATGTAAGTAGAAATAAATGTTGTAGTGCCACATCCTTAAAACAATACATATTGAAATGGAAATAAAACATAGTTTTTTATTTTTCTGATTAAAAATTATAAGAACTTCAAAAAAATCTAGCAGTGTGCCCTAGTCAACTGTACTTTTTAAAGGTTATTTAACACATTTGGGCTCTTAATGCTTCTAGTGCTGTGAAGCATCTCAGGCTGGCCTGGACTCTGTCCTTCTGTGATAAATGTGCCAGGCAGATGCTGCAGTGGAGTGAAGTGTCTTAGATTCTGTTTAATCATGCTTATGGTTTCTGTCTATATTTTTATTAGCATGCTGGATTTTAAATGTCATTCAGCATAAAAATCAATCCCAATCTGAGAGCTATTTATGTGTGTGGCAAGAGAAAAAGGCTCTTTTAACTTTTTGCATTGTGTTCTGAATGCAAATAACACAACTCACAAGCCACCCTGTATCTTTTATCTCTGTCAGGGCAGCTACTGGCTATAATTTAGAAGAAGCAGCAGACTCCTGTAGAGAAAGTAGGGCATGTAGAGGGCATAAACAAAATCTGAAACACTCTCTTAATGCCTAAAATAAAAGCCAAAACACCTAGATCTAGCAATGCCATTCAGAAATGCCGATATCAGTGTCCCTGAGGGCATCAACAGCCCTGACTGTCCCTGCCTGGCCTCTCCCAGGGCCTCCCCTCAGCCTTCCCATGGTCCAGGACCACATTTCAGGGAAGCCAGAAGGGTTCAACCCCTCACCTCAGACTCTCCTGGCCACGGGGTTGGGGCTGCTCTGGGCTGCCCACGCTCCACACGATGCCTTGGCGCTTGGGGAGAGATTAATTAATGAAGAACCTGCAATAGGCAGCAAAGTTCTCTTGGAGCATTCAGCCCTTGGGGATTCAGCCAACAGCAACAGCCCTGTGGAATAAAAGAGGTGATCTGAGTGTTGGTCCTGCAGACTGGTCCCTCATCCCATCTCCCTGGAAGAATTACAGTCTGAACTCAAGGAGTCTATAACAGCTGCATATCATATTTGCTGTGGAAATATTGACAAGTAGTAAATATTTGCAATTTAAAAACTATAAAAAAGTTTTGTAGCTGCCATTTAAATTCCATAAATGCCAGTCAGATATATAAATTTTCTCAAACTTATGATTTTCTTTTCAAGTTACAATATAGAATGATCATGGTCAATAATTCCAAAGTTATGGAGGCAAGTTAGAGAGGTGCTGGGTAGGGTAGAGAGACTGTTTTTTTGCTTGCTTGTTTATAGAGGGAAAACACAACCCAAAATTCAGCCTTTAATAAGATGCAAAACCCAAAAATTTCTAAAAAATGACAATAATTTTTTTGAAAGGATTTTGTCTCAAAGCACTGGATTATAGCCTGACTTTAATTTCTTCAGGGGAGAAAGGTAAAAGTTACTCTAAATACTTGAAAGCTAATATAAATCCAATGTGTTCAAATTCATGAGAGCAAATGCTGTATAGACAGGTATTCCTTATGAAGAGAACATATCTGCAAAAATCACATAGCTGAATGGTAGATTCTTCTTTCTTTAGACAGTAGTTTTTAAATCCATAAACCTTTAATAAATTGGATGACTATAAAGACATCTGGAATTATCAATGTGTGATTTTTCATTTGGATTAACCTCTAATTATATTGCCTTCTGAAGGACTTTTGGGAAGCTTCATTCCCTACAGTTCCAGACTTTCACTGCTCTAATAGTAGCTGTCTCCCTCCACCCACTCCCCCACCAACTGAAGGAATGTTTGTTTGGGAATTTGCAGAAATCATAGGCCTTTTTTTGGGATGTGGATTCTTTCAGGGGCTGTAGAGGAGTTATTTTACTTCCTTGTGATCCAAAGGAAGCTTAAGAAAATATATATGATGCTTTAAGTTATCCTGAAAACTGCTTTTATAATATTTAACTGCAAGAGGTGAATGGCTTATGTTGCTGACTTTGTCAGTTTAAGAGCTCTGTAGATTTCACTAAGACTGAGCCATCTGCTTGAGATGGATGTAGTTTTCAGTCATTCTCTGAATAACTTAATAAAATGCAGTGAACACTATCTGCAAAGTACCAGGTATAACTACATTTTCTCTACTTAATCACTGATTTTGAGAACATTACAAAGTCAGCAGAACAAGACATATGATTATCAAGCATGTATCACATGAGCTGGATTTTTATATTTTTCTGGTGTTCGGAACAAATTCCAAAAGAAGATTTTAGAAAATCAGGAGCACAAGGTACATTTTGTGTATTTCTCAACAGCATCCTTTTCCAGTTCTTTCTCTTTAGTACGCAAAGCCAGTCAGTGCCATCTGTCACATGTTTGTGATATATAGGCCATGGAACAAGGGAATCATGCTCTTAGAGTGGAAAATGAAGAAACCTCCCTGATAGTAGCATTAAACCCATTTTCCTACTACAGTCAAAGCTAATTCAGGTCGTTGTAAATTCACTTCCTTTAAAGGTGCGAAACCAAATAGTAAACTAAATGAAGTTGCAATCCGTAATTCTGTTGTCACTGTGTTCTCTACAGGAAATTGCATAGACACTGTCTTGGTGCC